ACGTTCTTACAATAAATTTATTTTTAATGGGTTAAATGATAACCCTTTGCCTTTTTGTAACTGTGGATGGGAATGAAAAGTTCAAATGATCGTTTCAGTGCGTATTATTACGATATACGAATATGCATGGAATAATTAAGGACATCAGAAATCGTTTTCTTATTTATCGGGACTTATTAATTTATTGTTTTGGTGTCACCAATTGAGTTTACTCCACCTTTTTTGTGATTTGCAAGAAAACAATACTGGATTAAAATTTTCTATAACAAATCGCAATCTCATGTAATCTAGCGATGTAAATATGGTCAACGACAGTGAATTGAGAGTGATAAAGAAATCTTTACGTTGCTTAACTTTCTATGATTAACGTACGAGAAATATATATAAATGTTTCGAACCTCAATGACTCTTTATCGGCGTGATGATCAACTTTTAGATTGGGTCACGATCACAACCTTTTTTTTAGATATATGATAATCAAACTTGAAATGATTAGTGAGTATGGGAAAAATAATATATCTATATTTTCAATTATACAAGATTGGAATGAAAAAAAAAAGAAAAAAGATTGGTATGAAAGTTTACATTCACATAAGATATACATAAAATTTATTTAACATAAAAAAATTCTAATTATTATGCTTAACTGGCATAGACAAAGACATTTCTATGATTGGTACACTTTACTAGAAAGCAACTTATTATTAATTTTAACAGTGTTTGTATAAATACAAATAGACTAAAATGCCTAGATATTTATATTTTAATATAAAAACACACATATGAATTGATCGGAGTGGTAGGGAACGATGGATTTTAATTACACAACCCCAATAATTAAGGTTTGATAGATAAGTCAGGTAGTAAAATCCCGCCAACGATTTGAAGGAAACAATGAATATACTTAATATATTTATAACTAATCTCAAGAACTAAGTATTGTTTTTCTTGTCAATGAGAACTAAGTAATTACCTATAAAAGTAATCAACTTTGTGTTTATTAGGTAGTGGTTGGTGCTTCTAGTGGTTGGTGTTTGGTAAGTAGTTTCTCAATATTCTTCTTGTTTTCACATATCAAGACAAACTGAGGACATACCCAATTTTATATTCTTATTCATTTGACAACGTTATTTTCCTACGATGCTTAGGGTTCTCAATTATTAGTCTAATCACATGATTAAGTTACTCGTGATTCAAGTATTCAACTTATTTGGTATAATAGCCATCTAAATGAAGCAACTTATTTGGTAAAACGCTATACTCGCAGTAGATTTTGTTTTTGTTTTTATTTTCTCTTAAAGGGTCGCAGTGGAACATGTTTAAATGGAGAAAATTCGTTTTGATAAAGACCTTTCAAATAAAATAAAATATAATAAATATATTAATTTGTGTAGTTGGAAATAAACTGTATTCGGTCTGACTGTATTTCAGCCACCCAAATTTCATTGCTTTTTTCTGTGAGCTTAACCATTTCATTAGGATTAATATCTGCAATGTTGCTTTAAGGAAACTCTTCAATGTTTAATGGTTTAATCCGAATATAGTATATTACTTATTTATATATTCATTAGTAACGTTTCTGTGCGTCGTGGCTTTTTAGGAAAGTTACGTATGTAGTAAAAAAGCATGTGTTCAGAATTAGATG